GGGGTCCAGGCAAAGATCGCTTTGCAGTGCCTTTGGGGGACGAGCTGAGGCTGGTCTTCCCACCGGGAGGTGATCTACGACGTCGGCCCGGTACCTGCGGAAATCCCGGCACAGAGCTGAGGGTGTGAGCTTAGCATTGGCTTTTCAGAAACCGACTTCGAAGGCTTATAAGGGGTAGGAAAAGTGGCCGTAATGGTTCGAAATTCATAGCGTCTCCATGTAGTACCATAATCTACTTGCAAAGCCTGCAGACTCAGAGTGCACGTGGGGACGACCCCACTTTTTTCACAATTCAAACCTGCAGAAAAGGCTTGCTTTAAGGACCTTCAACAAGTGTCACTAGTCTGCACCCAAATGCTCCCAATATTCCCCGATCAGCCATGCAACTCCTATGGATGAATCTTGCGGCTCCAGTTGGCGGTGGATCGAAAGAAGGGTTTCTAGGGCATAGAGGGCTGAGAAGAGGGCTCACAGTTTAAAGGACTTGGGGTTCAAGAAAAGTGCTTAGTGTATCTGTACTTCTCTTGTCAGTTCCCACTTTTGCTTTGTAGCCGCTTTTGCTGGGCTGGCACTTGGCCGCTCACTGCAGTGAGCAATACATCGGACTCTGAAATACATGAGTAAATGTTTTGGGAGGGAGGCAGGCAGGTGTCACCCTCCTGGTATCAGCTCGAAGCCACTCCTTCGCAGACACCTGCCTGCCGCTGCCCTGATGTGTAATTAGCCTGACATGTCGCATTGCTGCCCTCACATAAGAGGTGGGCGCAAGCGTCCGTACAGTCAATCCGAATCCATTCCCAGAGATTCGACGGCAGAGCGCGGAAAATCAGGCAGGGCGTTACCCCACTGGAAGGGGCAGGGATTATGTCAGGCTTTCTTCTGAGCAGCCTGAGGACCCTTCGCCAGACCCACTCATGGTTTCCGTGTATGGACAAGCCTACCCATGATGCATGTAACCTCTCTACTCATCTTGATGCTGAAGTAGACGGCGAGGTTCATACCAGATACCCGGTCACACTGAACTATCCCAGGCCCCAACCCCTAAACCCGAAACGCTCGAAAGAAACATACACCCTAAAGACTACAAGCGCCATAAACCCTGTGATTCCCTCTATAAGTGCCTAAAATATGCCCTGAACAGATGAAGGAGTCTAAAGCAGCCTCGCGCCCGCAGTCCGCAGAGCTTCGGATCAAGCCTTTAAAGCGCCGTGAATTTGCGGATGTTGGCACAGCGTGTGCCTCAGGCAGCAATTGTGGTTTAGGATAGGGCCTGTTCCTGCGGTCGACACAGTACTCGACTCTTTGCCGGGTGGAACGTCATGGTGTTGGGGCGTGTTGGTTTCGGATCTCTGCAGATGAGAGTATTGTGCATTGGATTGCGGCGTGCCTTTTTGAGTTTTCACCCTGGGAAATGATGTGAAGAAGCTTAAGCAAGGGGTCCGAATGATTCAGGTGCTCCGCACCGAAGCTAGCTTAATTAGGTGTTAAGCCTACAACCGACTGGACTTTGTTTAACAACCTTTGCACTACGGGGCGAACGCATACATGAGAGACACCCGGAGAGCCCAAGAAAGGGAGAGACTGACCTGAGGCAAAACAGATTTATCTGGCAAGGCTCGCGGAACAAGCAGAACGCTACGACGATTCACATCTGCAGAAGTGATTTGGGTGTTTCTGTGCTGTGTTTTCAGTGTTTCAAGCATTGTTGAAGACGCTATTTATATAGAAGCCTTCCTGAAGTGGAGAGTTCGCTTTGGCACCCTGGATGGCCGAGATCTTGTTTGGTGTTCTTCGGATAGATTGTCTTGCGGTTCTTGCGCCCCTTGTTGGACTAGTTCCCTGTGGTGATCTCTGTTAGTGACATCTCACCTGGCGAGACCTGCTGCTAACGCTGAGTGTTCCACGATTGGTCAAATGTCCATGTGTACGTGCCAAGATCATGCTGTGCTGCCTTTCTTTCGGCAACTCACCATCCAGCACAACGAAGACCCACAATTCTCTACCAAACACCTCAAAATCCTACTAGATCATGCTCGCAGGAGATATGTCAGAGGCTCGTTTCAATGGTAGGTTTCCCCTAGAACCGCTACTGCTTGCTCGTAGCATCGCGTTTGATGTTAGTCTGTGTTTACGCGGATCAGCGATAGTTGCTTTTGCGCAGATTTGGCTGCTGCAAGTCGGACCCCACTGAGAGTTTATCAGTGTATCGAGAGACCCCGAAACAATAAACTTAATGACCAGCAAACCCAATAGGCTCTAGGTCTAGTAAGATCTGTGATCATCGTGAATTTAAGTACATATTTTAAGAATACAGCATTTGGGGGCGTGCGTGCAGCATTTAGGCCTTCTTGACAACGAGACGAATGCTTAACCCCTGGATCCTGCGGGTACTTCCAGGGCTTAGCTCGTCCTAGAAAGCCTAAACTTGGTACCAAGGAAATGGCAGACCACATGCGCCATGTGGTAGAAGCTGGAGGTGAACTTACACCGGAAGAGGGCCAAATGCTCTCCGTGGCGTATAAGAACAAGGCCGGGGGATTCTGGAAAACGGAAGAAGTCTTCGGAGCATATATCCAACAGCCTGCGGTCTTCTAAAATTCTTGAAATGAGGGGTCGATATTGTTCGATACTGCAACATGTGAGTCAACGATATGTAGTGGTATAGGTTTGACGGTTGCGGATTTCCTTTCGAGTCCAAGCTTTTCGAACATCCTACATGCCTCTTTGATTTTCATGTGGGTAGTTGTCAAAATTATGGTCCCTTTTGGGGTACCCTAAATAATAGGTGCCGTATTATAATAAGGACCCAAAATGGGACCATAATTTTGACAACCACCCATGTGTCACTTGTCACAAGTTTGTGAAGCAAGCCTACCGCAGGATGCCTGTAAGCCTGTAAGGTGATGCGGGGCCAGGGCCGGCCAGGGTCAGCGACAGCAAGCCACTGTAAGTCAACATGCTTCAGATCCGGATGAGGTTGGAATCCAACGTGCGGCATGGAGAGTGGTCGACGCCACGATGCAGAAGGATCTTCGGCCAGCATGAGGTTTGGTTTGCCGAAGCAAAGACGACTATGTCTCCGCCAGTCTTGGAATTTAAGATGAAAAACTCCCAACCCAGAAAAGTCACAAGTAGAGCCATCTTCCCTTTGAGGATTAGGAGTGCAGACAGACAGTTCCTTGAATGAATCCATGAAGTGACGAAGGCGAAGACAAAAGGAAATAGCTGCGAATACTGTGAGGTTGGTCCATCTTGGGGAAATACGTAAAGCCCCATGTAAACAATCGCACCTATCTATACAAGGTAAGCATGTAGCATGCGCATGTATGCTTCCTGGCTACTGTGGGTTGGTGTTGCAGTGCCCGACCAGACGCTTACATTAGGCACTTCCGTGCTTGTCAACGGGCACATACATAAGTATAACTAGAACTGTGTTTCAAGTATGTAATGCCTATGTACGAATGCATGTGACTGTGTACGCATGTACATATACATGTTACATGTATATATATATATATACACATACACACATGTTTTATATCTAGTTGCACGCATTGAGTTGCACTGCTGCTCGAAGTAAATTTCCGAGGAGACGGAGGTGGGTCACTTGGAGGAAGCCTCCTACGCAGCCGAGTACAAGAAACAGGCAACCATGGATTGCTGGGCAATGGAAGCCGAGGTTGACGGGATGTACTCAGTGTATTTCACAAAATAATAACACCTAAACCCTTAACCCTGAACCCTAATAGTAATTATAGTCATCATCATCATAGTACGCGTCTAACTTCTAGAAGCCCAAGGACTCCTGAACTCTAGACCGCAAGTTTTTTGGTGCAAGTTGGGCCCGTGGGTATAGGAAGCCAGTGGCTGACGGTAGCCAGTTGGTTTGGGATTCAGGGCCCCGGGGTCAGCGGAGAGCCGAAGCAGCTGATAAAAGAAAACCGTCAGAGTGCAGGGTTTGGGGTTTGCATTTTAGAGTATAGCTCTATTTGAGAGAGAGAGAGAGAGAGAGAAAGAGAGAGAGAGAGAGAGAGCGAGAAAGAGAGAGAACTTATATTATAAGGCTTAGGATGTATAATGGTTCAGGGTGTTTCGGGTTGGGAGCTTGGTGTCCTTGCCTTGGCTTTATACCAAAAGTCTTTGCTGCGGGAGTCACCACCCAAACCTGGCAGGCGATGTTTGCGGGAGTGCGAACCTGCGCATCTTGGATGGCGCACTAAGTCACTAGATCTGGTGTGGAGGGCTGGGTTCCTAGGACCACCTCGCAGACCTAGCAATATCGGCAACAGCAACTCAAAGGGAATGTCGCAGCAAATTCTTGCATGGCAGGGGTGATCAAGCAGGAGGGAGACCCTGCAAGGAAAAAGCAGGTTCGGAGGTCTTGTTTCAGAAGGCTGCACGTGCCCAGAACCATCTTCAGGCATATTAATCTCTTCCCTTCCGGACCTGCTGTAGATGTCGAAAAGAAAGTTTGCAGTGAGAGAGAGAGAGGCTGTCTGTGCTTTGCCATATCCCACCTCAGTATCCATATTTGTATTATATTTGTATACTGACTCTCTCTCTCTCTCTCGCTGACTGTCTCTCCAAAGGTCATATAAACCAAGCAGATAGAAACATATGCAAATACATAAACATATGTAGACATGTGCTCCTGTATATGCACCCGCCGACGTCCTGATAGCCCAGAAAGCACACGGCGCCGACCCTGCCCTTGCCTGGCCGCCCTTAGACCCTATGGCCACTTCAGGAGGAAGTTCTGCGGATGCTAGAGACGGACCTCCTACCCAACGCCACGCACCCGGAGACGCGAGTATTTTACCTCAAGATCCTCGGCTGCAGTCAGGCAGAAGCTCAGTTTTCTTGCTTGGTAGCTGTAGGAACCCAGGCATTAACTGTTCGGGGTAGTTTGCGGGATCTCTCTCTATCTCTCTATTTCGCTCTCTCTCTCTCTCTCTCTCTCTCTCTCTCTCTCTCTAGGTATGTATATACACACATAGACTATTTTTGCGCAGCAGTAAGTATATTCTCATATAGGCAATCGGACGATTGTGGGATGAGTACCTTGTCTCCTCTTCTCTGCTAAGCTGCAGGAGTGCTGGTTGGAAGAAGCCCGCTTCGGCCCTGTTGACATATGGGTAGTTCTGCAAATTAGGGTCCCTTTCTAGGTCCCCAACGTAGTACGGCACCCCCAAAAGTGGGGCCCTAATTTAGAGAACTACCCATGTGCAGAATTGGGTTTTAGGATTTAGTGTAAGAGGGTGAATTGCTGAGCTCCACTTCCAGGCATGTTACCCAGCTCCTGGTTCAAAAGGGGGGTGTTTTGTAGACGCCGTGAAAAAGCTGAAGTGATCACAGGATGCGGGCGGATTATTACCGCTACATCGCGGAGTTTCACCCAGAGATCTCGGAGTGCAGGGAGAAGGCGCAGTGGGCCTCTCAGGAAGCCTATGCAGCATGCCAGGACCTTTGAGGGCATTGAGCCCTAACCCGCCAGGTACCTACTATATAGGGCCCTAGGGGCTCTAGTACCCTATATAGTAGGTACCTGGGGGTTAGGGGAGGTTTTAGGCTGCAGGTCTATGATGCTGTATGGTTGCAGGCTTCGTTGGCTTGAGGGTTGTAGGCTCCGGGATGCATTGTTTAAAGTCTTGTTGGTTGGTAGATCGGCAGGGAATTCTATGGCAACAAAATCCAGGCGAATCCAGGCATGCGGAGCATGGTTTGCGGTCGCTTCATGTCCTGCCCCGAGGAGGGTCTCTCGCCAACGCACCCGATTCGCTTGGGAATGTGCCTAAGTCAAGCGGCCTTTCAGTACGAGATTCTGGGCCAGACTTCGGTGGCTGTGCAGATGGGCAAAAAAGCCTTGGACGATGCACTTACTCAGATCGATGACGTCCCCGAAGAGCACTACAAAGACGTGGTCCTCATCATGTCAGTTCTGCGAGACAACCTCGCATTGTGGACAACCGACATGCAATCCTGTTGAATTGTGGTGTTGCATGCGGCATCGCGAACCTTGCCCCTAAACCCTAAACCCTAAACCCCATCGCGAACCTTGCCATTGCTCCATGTGTTCAGATCAAGCTTGGCGAGGGACATTTGTACAGCCGGCCCCTGTGCCACATTTCAAAGCTGTTTCCCGATCGGACCATGGGCCCAATAGGGGACGGAAGTAAGTCCTTGCTTAGCATAGACTCTTTTTCTACCTTTCCATCGCACCTTATAGAAGCCTTTTTCGTTCCCCTGCTGATGTAATGGCAATTGCCTTGATGGCAAGCTGGACACGATTTGCTGCTGTGGAAGCCTGCTAGACTGCGCTGCATACACTTTTGGGCCTTGGGCATGAGGGTCTATAGGGTTTATAGGTTTAGGGGTCTAGGGTTTAGGGTTTAGGGTTTAGGGGTTTAGGGTTTAGGGGTTTAGAGTTTATAGGGGTTTAGGGTTTTGGAGTCGCTTGAAGATGCTGTGAGGGCTTGCAGCAGGGGGCCGCTTCCGGCTTCCATCAGGAATAAATTGCCCTGCACGCGCGTGGGCTTCGTGCTCCGAATTCCGTAAGTTCAGGTTTAGGGTTTAGGGTTTAGGGTTTAGGGTATTCCTAACAGCAAGTCCCACCAGCAAGGTATATAAAGCCTCCCCTATACCCTTCGCTTTTGCCACGAAGGAGCCTTGACGCAGTTGGGTCTGGCATGAACTAATTATTGAAGAAAGACTGAAGAAGCAACATGACATGACCCACTTGCATAGAGCCCTGTTTGCAGGGTTCGCCAGGATTGAGATACATATGGTTTGCAGTGATTTGTGTGTGGGGTCGAAGCTTTGAATAGCATATGGGCACTGTTAATCGATGCTTCATCAGGCAATGTGGTAGAGTTTTTTGCGCTTTTCAGGAGGGACACATGTCCCATCGCAACATGCGCATTCGCAGATCGGGGCCTTTCGGGCAAATGACGGCGGAGGCCAAAGAGCGCCCAGATGCCTTTGCAGCTGCCTTGCTTTAAGAATCATCGACATGTGAAGCTAAGGCTCAGTGTGGAAGAGTAGGTGCGTTTTGAGCCGGGTACTGGTGCGGTGCTCCTCCCGCCCACCATCTTCCACCATAAACTCGCAATAAGCAGCAACAGTATTGGAATGCTGGAAGTCTAACCGGGCAGATCTCTGTCAGAACCAATAAGGAGTCGATGTCGGCGATCAGTATTGACAAGAAAAATGATAATGAAAGCAGTAATTAGTAATGCTGAAAAGGATCATGTTCGTAGTCATAGTCATGATCATAAGGATAATGATGTTGCCATGTTGCAGACTAGTGGCGCTAATCATTCCAATAATGGCCTTTTTATCATCGTCCTCGCCCGGCAACAGCGGGCCGTCTTAACTACCATAGCTCATCATTGGATAGCAACGCAAGACAGACATACTCTTCCAGGTCCTTGTAAGTGGCAGCTGCACACGGTGAACATCATGCCGAAACCCCAACACCAGACACAGCGTCCCACAAGACAGACACAGTCCCTTTGCCGAGCTTCGGAAGCCGAAAGCCCCAACAGTGGAACAGGACGACGCCGCGGTGGACAGCGGCGGCGCAGACGGCACCGACTCCACTGAAGTGCGCGCCCTTTTGTCGAGCCCCCCGACATCAATTTCCGGACAAAGGTTGATTCAGGGTTTCAGGTTTGATCAACCATGGCTGTAGTGCAGGTTTATGAAGAGGGGGCAGCAGAATTATGGAAAACAGGCATTTACGGCCAGATTCAGAAATTGATGATCCATGCCTGGTAAGGTGCTGGTCAGACTCTCCCCTCACAACAAGGTTGCGATTAGTGTCGCCTATGTGCAACTTCTGCTCAAGACGCATTTATTCTCCGACGACATACGTGCCGAGTCTAGAAACTGCAGAGCCCGAAACCCCTAAACGCCCGAAGCGCTCTAACGCCCAACCCCCAACCGATCTCTCTACCCATAGGCCCCACAGTGGTTCCTGTTTGGGATTACTTCATAGGGTTCTAAATATGAACCCCCAGAAAGGAACGACTATGGGGCCTATATGGGTAGTTCTTATTTGTTCACACCGCATCTCAGGCGCGAAGGGACCAGATCCGGCTGCGGGCAAGAGGCGGCTGCGGGACTTCGGTCTGGAGATAACCTGGGCTTTGCAGTACCATACTTTAATACTTTTTTGGGGGACCTGTTCCTTTACGAAATAAAAGTCTTTACTTTTTCTCCCTGGTTACTTCAAAGCCCAGTAACAGGGTTTATGAGATGTTTTATAGGGTATTGTACAATATTGTATATGGTATAGGGTCTTATAGGGTAGTATAGGGTATTGTAAAATACTGTATAGGGTATTATGGGGTATTATCGGGTAGTATATCGCCGAATGTAGGGGACATGTATGGGCTTCACAGAGGGTATTCAAGGGACAGGTTATTCTAGGGGAATTCATGGGCTGGGGTTCCAAGTGTCTGCTTGGCGTACGGTAATCCGTCGCGAACTTCGGATTCTGCTGCCTCTTGCAGCTCAGGGGTTCTGAGGGCATGCGCCTGGGTGAAGAGTAGGGTTTTCCGATGACTGACTTAGACATGTATGCGCTTGAACAGAGATGACCGCCCGAAAAGAGTCAGATCTCCCGCAGTGGAAGTTATGGTTTTGACGATAACCTTGGGAAGAATAGCGAGCGTGCCCTCAAAGTCTTGAAGACCTTCCACAGCCAAGTAGAACTTCCATGCCAGGAAGGTCGCTCCCGCACCAAAGCTCCAGATGGTGCGCCGTCAGCGCAGGCAGGTTCGCGAATGAACGGCTTAGGAAACGGCCATCCGCGTCACTGTTGAAGACCCTAAACCCTAAACCCACTTGCTTTGTGCTATTTCTTTGCTACGCTGGGCTGGCTTCTTTCAGTGTTTACCTTACCCAGGTCCCTTGGTGGAGCCGAGTATTCCAAGCCGGTCTTAGTGGCTCCGAGCCGAGCACTACAGGTAGCATCCTCCACAGAAGAGGGCATTGTAGAGGTAGGTATGTGTGTATGCATACCAAAAAGATATGCATATAAACATAGTTCTACATATGCATGTATACAAAGTGATTTCGGTATACTTCCGTTGCCCTGAAGCTCCACCGCAACTCGAAACTGCAGAAGCCTTGAGCCCATGAACCCCTACGAGACTTCTGGTAGCCCTTCTAGAAGCTCTAGAGAACCCTGATATGCTGCCCTGATACTTAGCATCATGTATGGTATGATTATAGGAGAGCCCGTCTATGGTATCCCTTTTCGTATCCTGTACGATAGCCCTGATTATATGGGGGTTTCCGAAAATAAGGGGTACCTTATTTGGGGGTCCTTATAATGGGGATCCTACTATTTAGGTCACTATATTAGGGTCCCCTATTTTCGGAAATCCCCATATAAGCCCGGCCATGGTAAGACCAGGCTTCTGGATCCACGCACTGCGGCCGCCAGTCGCGCTGCGGGTCTCGGCGCGGCCACCATGCAGCGCCGGATGGAACAGCTCGTGGCAGCCCACCTGAATGTTGAGTGTTTGTGGCTTTTAGAAGTTACCTGGACCCCAAAAGTATGTAACATAATAGCCTTTTATGGGTCTTGGGCCATTATGTTACCATTTTTTGGGGGTTTAGGTAGAAGAGTTAGAAGTGGAAAGTTGAAGGGTGTGGGGTGTGGGGTTTAGGCTTTTTTCTCGGTGGTTGTCTCGAGTTTTGGAGTCTCGACCTCAGCGTGCTCCAATACCTTTTCCAAGGTTGAACCCATGGGCCCCTAGTATGGGCCCTTAACCCTGAGATCCTTATATACCTACTATATACCCTATATGTACCCTTAAGGGTCCCTAGAAAGGCCTAGGGGCCCATATTAGGAGCCCATACTGCTAACCTTAGGCCTTTTGGGCTTGCATGACTGAGTCTTGGAAGCTGTTTGCAATCTCCAGCGAGAAGTGTCTCATTGATTTGACTTACACCTCAGAAGGTTCAAATTCCAAACCCCAAGTCTCAAGCCAACCAGCCCTCAGTTCTTACACCAAAACGCTCAAGGCCCCTTTCCCCTACACCCTATAGACCCCAAACCCCAAAAATCCGCCAGCACCCACTTAAAGCATCATGGGACTTAGTAAGTAGGGTTATAACTAAGGTAACTATACTTATAACCCCAATTAGGGGACTTATAACCTTACTTACTAAGTCCCATGATCCTCCAAGTAAGGACATGGCCCTCTCTGTGTCGACCCTGGAGATATTTGCGGATCGGCAACCCGTGGAGTTCGGGATGACGGCCGGCCGCCATTATTGCGATTATTGCGACTATTGCTATTTGGGTAGTTCTCTAAATTAGGGTCCCTTTTAGGTCCCCGATATAGTACGGCACCCTGGTAGAAAGGATCCTAAAAGGGACCCTAATTTTGAGAGCTCCCCATTTGTTATTGTTATCAGGATCTGTAATTAGTAATATTATTACTTTTTGTGATTGTTATCAGTACTGTTAATTGATAGTTTTAGTCGTATGACTTCCCGTTTGTTTGGGTATGTTTGCGTTCCTTGAAAGGTGAGTTAGTTTGGGGTTTCCTTTGTTTGGGCCCCGTTAAAGGGTTCTAGAAAAGGTTTCCGAATGGTTGCTACAAGCCCTAAACCCTAAATCTTATACAAGGGCTTTACTTGAAGGATCATGGGACTTAG